TGGCGCCCCCAAGCTGCTACCAAAACGCGATGTGGGAAGGTTTGTCGAGCAACCGTACAGTGAGGAGGCTGCTCCTTACCCCATCCCTAAAACCTTCAAAATGCCACCATAATTGAAAATATACGACGGGACCACGGATCTAGAAGATCATCTAATCCATTACGTCATCGCGGTAAAAGGCAATGACCTGTCATAAGAACAAGTGCCATCCGTACTGATGAAAAAGTTCGGTGAGACTTTGACAGGAGGGGCATTAACATGGTATTCACAGTTACCAGCACGGTCGATATCGACGTTCGAGGAAATGGCAGATAAATTTGCCACCGATCATGCAGGAGCAAAGAAGGCCGAAACTAGGGTCAACGACATCTTCGCCATCCGGCAAACAGCGGGCGAGGGACTCCGAGACTTCCTGGCCCGATTCAACAGGGTGAGAATGGGACTGCATAATGTGTCAGAAGGAATGGCGGTCGTGGCCTTCCAAAACGGATTAAACAGGAGCGGATCAAAGGCGACCAAAAAATTGCTCAACAGACTCATGAAGTACCCCCCTACCACATGGGAAGAAATTCATAACGCCTACCGCGCTGAGGTAAGGGCAGACGAAGATGATCTTAACGGGCCAACTTAGCGATTAACGTCGGTTCAAACCGAAGCAAGGAGGGATAGACGCAACAATGGGCGAAGAGATCAGCCCCCGCATTTCATTCGAGAAAGACACCAGCCTTATGTCAGAACATCTAACCCGCCTCATCCGAGACATGCAGAGGCTGTGCTACGACACAACGCACCCCTTCAAAACGAAAGAGGTATGCCTCCACTATTATCTGCTCATAACTTTTGTGTTTCCCTTTCAGAGATAGTGTACGCACTAGAGAAACTATGCACGAAGGTACAATGGCCACCAAAAATGAGATCGGATACAAGCGCAAGAAGGTCAAACGTCCTCTGTGAATTCCATCAGGAAAGAGGCCACAAGACCGAGGATTGCATAGGCCTACGACAGGAGGTGGTCAGAATGTTGAACTAGGGGTACCTAAAAGAGCTACTCAGCGATAAAGGAAGGGCCAACTTCGCCAGAAGACGCGACCCCTCTCAAGGACCTCCGAAACTACCATCGCCGACACGCACCATACAGATGATCATTGGCGGCAGCGATGATTCAGTGATCAACCATGTGAAATTCACCGCCACACACAAACTCAAGAGGACGGTCGCTCACGAACGGTATGACGACTTCGAAGACAGTATCATCTTCGAAAAGTCAGATGCCGGCGGTTTGTCTTTCCCCCATTATGATGCTTTAGTTATAACTTTACGCATCGCTGATACAGATGTAAAAAGAATCATGGTAGATCACGGAAGCGGCGCGTGTATTATCCACCCGAGGGTCCTCATACAAATGAGGCTCGAGGATAGAATAATACCGCGTTGCATAACACTAATAGGTTTTAACAATGCAGTAGAGCGGACGTCCGGAGAAATAGTGCTGCCAGTCTTGGCAGGGGGAGTCACCTTGGAAACCACATTCCACGTCATGAACCAAGAAATAGCCTATAATGCTATCATAGGACGCCCATGGATACACGCTATGCGAGCCGTCCCCTCAAGCTTTTATCAAGTGATCAAATTTCCCACACAGTATTCAGCATTCGAGGCGAACCGCGCACCGCCCAGGAATGCTATCAGATCGCCTAAGACTGCACACATACCAAACAGCTGAAAAGAGAAAGCGCGGAGGCATAACAATTAACAATGTCGGGAACTAAACCCGACCCACCAACAGAAGTCATCAGAGACCCTGACATCGTAGAAGCCTGCAAAGCAACTATAGAAAACCTCAACCCAGTCCAGTTGGACGACGCCGACGACACAAAGAAGGCTTACATCGGGCACAACCTCTCGAAGCCAGGTAAGTATCGTGCATTTTTAGCTAACAATGCCGATTTGTTTGCCTTTTCCCACTCAGATATGCCAGGAATCCCGAAGGACATCGCCACTCATAGGCTGAACGTCGACCCACTCTCCCCGCCGGTACGATAGATAAGGAGAAAGTTCAATTCCGCAATCAATGAAGCGGTCAGCGAAGAGGTATACAAATTACTAACCAACGGTTCCATCAGAGAATCAAAGTATCCCCAATGGGTCGCCAATGTGGTCATGGTCAAAAAGAAGAACGGGAAATGGCGAATGTGCGTAGACTTCACCGATCTGAACAAAGCGTGCCCCAAAGATTCCTTCCCGCTACCCCATATCGACCAACTGATTGATGCGACAGCAAGGCACGGACTGCTGAGTTTTTTAGATGCCTACTCCTGTTACAACCAAATTCTAATGGCCGAAGAAGATGAGGAAAAAAAGACTTTCATCACTCACCAAGGAACTTATTGCTATAAAATGATGCCGTTCGGACTCAAGAATGCGGGGGCAACTTACCAGAGGTTAGTCACCAAAATGTTCAAGGAACAGCTCGGCAAAATAATGGAGGTCTATATCGATGATATACTGGTAAAGCCAGCAAAGAAGGAGGACCACATTGGCCATCTGCAAGAAGCGTTCGAGATATTAAGGCGGTACGGGATGAAGTTAAACCCGGAAAAGTGCGCCTTCGGCGTGGCCTCAGGGAAATTCTTAGGTTTTCTTGTATCGCAACGGGGAATCGAAGTCAACCCAGATCAAATCAAAGCTATCGACACAATACCCGAAGTGCTGACCAGCAAAAAACAGGTACAGAAGCTGACAGGGCGAATTGTCGCCCTGTCAAGGTTCATTTCACGATCCTCGGACAGATGTCACAAATTCTTCAACGTATTAAGAAAAGACCACGGGCTGCAATGGAACGAGGAATGCATCGACGCCCTGAGGAAGCTAAAAGCGTACCTGTCCTCACCGCTGCTACTCGTCAAAGCAGACCCAGGTGAGTGCCTACTCGTATATTTGGCGGTATCCGAAGTCGCTGTCAGTGCAGTCTTGTTCCGCAAAAACAAAGGTACGCAATCCCCTATTTACTATATCAGCAAAACCTTAATAGATGCCGAGATAAGGTACCCTCACCTTGAAAAACTAGCCCTGGCACTGGTCGTAGCTTCACGAAAGCTTAGACCTTATTTTCAATGTCACCCCGTAAAGGTAATAACAACTTTCCCCCTGAGAAGTATCCTGCATAAACCCGAACTCTCGGGTAGACTCGCCAAATGGGCAATAGAACTAAGCGAGCACGATATAACTTACCAACTATACCGACGGCGCTTCGAATGCCTCGGGATCAGGACTGGGACTCGTCCTCGAAGTCCCCATGGGCGAAGTAATTCGCCAGTCCATACGATGCCCAGAGATGACTAACAATGAGGCCGAGTACAAGGCTGTGATTGCAGGTCTAAAATTAGCCCTCAAGTACAGCGCCCGACGACTCATCCTCCATTGCGACTCCCAACTCGTTGTAAATCAAGTCACCGGGACTTTCCAAATCAAAGAGCAGAGACTACAGAGGTATCAGTCGGAAATCCGCAAACTACTGCCGGAGTTTGAAGAGTGCCGCTTCGACCAGATCCCCAGGACACAAAACATGGAAGCAGGTGGCCTCGCCAAATTAGCTGCGGCCACCAAAAATATTAACAAGGAAAGCGTGGTCACCCTCCTTCACTCAGCCATAGACCACATCGAGGTACTTTCTCTAAACCTAACTTGGGACTGGCGAAACCGCTTTGTGTCCTATTTACAGGATGGAATACTCCCGCAAGACAAGAAAGAGGCCAAGATACTCCGGGTGCAGGCAGCTCGATACAACTTGGTAAATCATGACCTCTACAAAAGAACATTTGGCGGCCCCCTAGCCAAATGTCTTGGACCACACCAAACTAGGCAAGTACTGGAGGAAGTACACGAGGGTCACTGCGGCGCCCATACAGGGAATCGCGCCCTCGTTCGATGTCTCATTCGCGCCGGCTATTATTGGCCTATAATGAAAAAAGAAGCCGCGAACTACGTCCGGAGATGCGAGCAATGCCAAAATTATGCCCCTATGATACATCAAGCAGGGGAACTCCTCCATTCGGTCACCCCGCCATGGCCTTTCATAAAATGGGGAATGGACATAGTCGGCCCCCTTCCGGCAGGACGAGGAAAGGTACGTTTCCTTTTAGTTTTAACTAACTATTTCTCTAAATGGGTGGAAGCAGGTGCGTACGCACAAATACGCGAACAGGAGGTCATCGCCTTTATATAGAAGAATATTATATGCCGTTTTGGCATCCCCAAAGAAACCAGCTGCGACAACGGACCCCAGTTTGTCGGAAAGAAAACGATTGAGTTCTTCGAAAAATGGCATATCAAGCGGATACTCTCCACACCATATCACCCTGCTGCCAACGGCACCGAGTCTTCCAACAAAGTGGTATTGAACATATTAAAAAAGAAGCTCGAAGAAGCCAAAGGGCTATGGCCCGAATTATTACCTGAAGTATTATGGGCGTATCGAACTACACTAAAGTCCAGCACGGGAGAAACGCCATACTCACTGGTCTACGGGACCGACACAGTCATACCCGTCGAAGTTGGGGAGCCTAGCCTGAGATACTCCCACATAAGCGGAGCAGTTACCGACGAGAGTAGGTTGCAAGACCTAGATGAGGTCGAAGAACGGAGAGATATGGCCCACATAAGAATGATAGCCCAGAAGCAGCAAGTAGAGAGATATTACAACAAGAAAGCAAAGGTAAGATCACTCAAAGTTGGTGACTACGTCCTCAAAGCCAAAACACTGACATCAAAAGACCCAAACGAAGGAAAGTTGGGAACCAACTGGGACGGACCATATAAAATCATAGCGATGGCTAACAAAGGAGCATTCCAACTAGAAACGATGGAAGGAAAACCACTCCAAAACAACTGGAACGTCGCCCATCTCAAGTATTTCCACTTCTGAAAGGTGTCACCTAAGCCGTACTCTTTTTCCCTTATCCACATGACTCACGAGCCGTACGTGCCTCAGTGTACATTTTCTAAACTTCCACCTCTGTCACACGACCCTCGGTGCGAAAGGCTCTATACACATCGAGCTGAGCCTCCGCATAGACCCACATCTCATATAAACTATGATTCGAGCCCTGACCAACCAGAGGGCGAGATGTGGAAGGCCCGGGGCGGCGATCTGCTTCTCCTGCCCTCGGCGGAGCTACTTGCCTTTGCAGCGAGGACAATTCCGCCCCCAGCTCCCCAAGATGCCTTTCAAGCTCCGCGACCCGACTGCTCGAGGCCTCCCTTTCCTGTGTAAGTTCCGACCTAGATAGGCAGAGGGCATCCTCCAAGGAGACAGTCTCAGAAATAGCGGCGGCCAACTTATCAACACTGGCATTCAATTCGCCCCTGAGCCCGTCAATCTCCGTTGTCTTAGCGCTCAGTTCGGCGCCCAAATCAGCCACCTTCAACTGCAGGTCGGCATTCTCTGCAGTCACCCCTCGACCCAATTCGAGTTCATCCTCCTTCGCCTTAAGGAGAACCTCCAACCCACTGTTACGAGCGATGGCCCTCACAAGCTCCTCATCTTTCTCCTCTAGTTCCGCAACCCTGCTCTCCAACTAGGCCTCCCGCTGTTTGAGCCCTTCGCGGAACACCTGGAATTCAGGGTCTTAAAGGTAGAGGTCGGATACCGCCCGGTGCTTGGCACGGTGTTGCTGGTACTTCGTCGACATTCTCTTATAAAGATCCGTCCTCCTTCCTTCACGACGACCCCTCTCTACCTCCAGGACGAGGGTCTGAAAAAAAAGGAAAAAGAAATAAACACACATTTCCATGTCAACCCTGCAATACAAAAGAAAAAGGGAGGGGGAAACCCACCTGAAGGGCCATGCCAGCGACCTTCCACGACAGCTCCGTATCACTCATCGTTCTAAGCGTCTCGCTCTCAGGAGCGGCGCATAAAAGGGTAAGGGTCGATGCGACCTGCTCACTATTTAGCAGTAAATTGTAATCCCCCGGGATTACTATGCGACGGTCAGACCCATCCGTCATCGTTTTCACATAGGTGTGGCGACCCAAAATTTCATTTATATCCTCCGGTGCGACGTCGGAACCCGACCCCTCAGCTTCCACACTAGGCCCTCCAACGTTAGTCGACTCACCCCCCTCAGCAGAGCACACCGAGCTAGCTCCAGGAGCAGCCCTCCTCTCGTGGGCTGACCTCCCCGACAAAATAGCTTCAGCCATGAACACAGGCATTGACGTCGTCCGAGATGCCCCACTCCCGTCAGCATCAGTAGTCACCCCATTTCCTAACTCCAACCTTCTCCTTTTCCTCTCTAATGGTTCGTCACCATCAGAGGATTCGTCGATAGGATGAGAGGTTGGCGCCAACGAGGGTGTGTCTCTTGCCGTCGCAGATGCGGACGGAGTTTCCCGCCGAAGAGGTAGAGGACGGCCCTCTCGGACAGACGTACACAAGACGTCCTGAGCTCCTATGGCAGGTCGCCTAAAAGCAGGGACTGGCGCCTTTCTCCTAGAAGCTCCCCGACCTGTCATCAACAAAAATCATACAAGTGAGATAGAGCCACACGACCGGCGATGCAATAAATCAAAGGTTTACCCGAGGAAGCCTTAGGGCCGTAGCGCTGAATGAAGGCGGCCCAAGTTCGCGTCTCCTCCGCATGGGGCAACAGGCCGGCAACCCAGTTCCTGAGGCCGATGACAGGCTGGGGTGGGCGAGCCATAGCTGCAAAACAAACGGTCAGAAGCAACATTTGCGGAAGATGGAGAATACAATGAACTACGATACTTACGATTGTCGTTCCACTTTTCTGGGAACCCGACGGGGTTAGAAACCATGTGCTCAGTTTTGATAAAGAAGTATTTGTGCCAATACTTTCAGCTCGGCCGGTCGACTGTTCCGACCACCAACCCCTTCGTGCCACGAAGCCTTAGGTGCACCATGGTGCCCCTAAGGAAATCGGGCGAGAATAAATGCAAGAGGTGGTGCACGCTGACTTCACTCCCGGCTAGTTCTGCATATTTAGTCAACAAAAAGAGCACTTTGAGTGTGTATGGCATGAGCTGAGCCGGGCAGATATGATAGAATCTGCAGAGCTCATCCGCCAAAGGAAAAAGAGGCAGGGTATAACCGATCATAAATGGGTACTCATAGAAAGCGCAGTACCCGGGTCTGTGAACGTTAGCGTAGTCCCCACCCGCCAGAACCATCTCCACGTGGGCAGGGATATCGTATTTTATACGAAGAGCGTCGAGATGAGTTTGGTCTGTCTCGGAAAGTATGGGGCTCGGAGTAGGAAGTGGGTTCTTACTGAAGTCACTCCGAGATGAGGGATGCCGTGGTAATAATGCCTCCACTGTAAGAGGACTGTCGTCATCCTCCACCTCCACTTCTCCTCTATCGGAGAAAGGCACTGCACTTATCAGAGCAATCTCAGGAACCTCATCAGTAGGGCGACGAGATTTTGGCATGATTTTGTATGGAGGTAGCAAGTCACACCAATGGATAATGAGAAAAGAAGGCTTCCGATCGAAAATGAAAGCGAGAAAATGAGGATATGCGAAAACGGGAGAAGAAGATCGAAGAATTCTCGAGAGTGGCTAAAGTTCTTCAGCGAGATTGAACCCTTCACCCATTTATAAGGTTGGGTGGTGCCAGAATCGAGGCGGCAGGTTTCAAATCAGCGCGGGAAACCAAGCGCCAAACCGTCAGCTTTTCTGCCTCGAAAATACGCATAATGATGACGCATACAAACACTGACGTCATCCAGGGAGGAGCGCTCTTTTCAATGTTCCGTCGAATGTGATTACGATCTCCTCTACTGGCCACGGCGTAACGTTTCGGCAAGCCAAATTCTCTTTAAAAGAGGCACTAATTCCGCCCATCGAGGACGCACCTCACTGCGACCTCGACAAGCGAAGGGACTAACTGTATAGGTTCGAATTTGGTCGATCACGTCTCAGAGGTAGCACGACCAACCATTAGGTATCAACGTGTCGGTATAGGGGGAAGACGCGACCCAGGAAGGAAAGGAGAGACGTCCTCGCGTCGTCGTCGGTTCCGTTATAAAATATACTTTTCCTTTTGTCGTTCCTGTAATGTGTAAAGGATCCTCCTTTATATAAGGGGGATCCACGTCTTGTAATTGGGGGGATCTTTTTTGAGGGACAAGAAATACAAATTCTCTCTCTTTTTCTCTCTACCCTTTATCTTTGTACTGATCTATCTCTTCTACTGTGGCAAGTCCATCTTCCTAAAAATTATCCTAGGGTTTATTATTCTCGACTACGATTTACACCTTCATCCTTTTGATTGATTTGCTTAAAAAGAGTTAACATCTTTTGAGTCAAATACCTTCCTACAGTAATCTCTGTAGTTTTGCTCCTCTCTTGCGTTAATTATTTGTCTAGCCTAATCTGTCCAAATGGTATGGTCCAGTATCGAAATTAGGATTTTCATTAAAAAGTGTCAACAACAACACAACAACAACAATTCAGTGAAATTCCACAAGTGGAGTTTGGGGATGGTAGTATGTACGTGGGGAGGGTAGTATGTACGCAGACTCTACTCCGGAGGAGTAGGGAAGTTATTTCCGATAGACCCTCGGCTCAAGAATTCACTAAAAAGTGTCAAAATATAAAAAATTAAATACACGAAAAAATCAAAGGGATTCAACATATAGTATATATGCATAAAACAATTTATTTATACCTAGCAAAACATATAAAATTTCGGTGAAGAGGTGTAACTGACGACCCTTGGTTAAACATGGCTCCGCGACTAGTCTAGTTCAAACCTTCCAGCAAAGGCAGAACTAAGATTTAAAGTTTATGAGTTTGAGATTCTAATATTTTTAAGTAACTAGGTTCTAAGTTAATAATTTATACATATTTAATAAATTTCTTAATATAAATACTAGGTTTCGATCAAAATTATTGGGATTAGCTGAACCCGTAACCTATATACTAGCCCCGCCCTACAACCCAGCTTTAATTGATATCCCCAAATACAAACACGTTTTCCCTTCTCAAGTTAAAATTGAAAATATATAAAAGTGGTTTAGATCTAATTTAATAATAATAGCATTACACTACATTTACCACTTGTTTGGATGGTTGTTATGTATCGTTTCATAAAGTGCCGTATAATATTGTATCGTATTGTACTATGTTATTTTGATGTATACAATGTTTGGATAGATTACATTATTTTCCGTCATTTCATGGTGTCATGCATCGATAATATGATGAATAAACTTATTATAAAGAAAAAAATAAGGTACAGGGTAAAATTATTATACAAAAAGGTAGGATAAAAGATAAAATAGGATTATTTAATAATATCGAAGGACAAAATGAGAGGAAAAAAAGAAAACGACGCGACCACACCATATCGGACTGTTCCACAAAGTGGCATTTTGGTCGTTTCGTAACGACGAATTTAACAATACGATTCAATAAAATTTATGTAACAAACAAAATAAACATCGTATTTAAAGCAACAATACTATACATTACAACAGCCAATAACCATCCAAATAAGCTGTTAGGTGTAAAGTTTTGTTTTTACTAAAAAAAGAAAAATGAACTCCATGCAAAATTTGACCGTTTGTATAGACATGCGTTATCTTCATCAAATCAGTTCAAAAGAGAGTGGCATGATAAATGTGAGTTGTTAAAATGTAGATTTCCTAACTAAGATTTTAGGTGCGATTTAGTCGAGGCGGCAGTTAGTTTAGTATATTAGTACAAATTAATTAAGGGATAATATTTCTGCAGTTTAATTAATGAATTAAACAAACAGATAAATACGTAGGCATATATAACATGCGTATAGTGAGAGATAACAGCAAATACGTTACCGGGAATATTACAATGTCGTTATCGTTCGACGGAGATTCCAAGCTGATTATTTAATGCCGGCGCCGGAGTTGCTGAATTACCGGCGATTGTTCTTGCTTGTAACGAAATGAAAAACAGAAAGCAACGCCATGAGACGGCGGCGGTGTTTATCGGACTTCCGATCATTTTACTATTCCGTCGACGCCGTCGCATTTATCACCTCCTCCCTTTTCTCTCAGCTTTATCCGGCGCTTTTCTTCTTTTATTTACGTTTCTCTCTTATCTCTCACCTCCTATTAATAGCCGCCATCTTCACTTTATCAGCCGCAGCTCGGTGAGAACCACGAAATGTTATTTACGTTACAAAAACCGTTTTTCTCTGTTTTTCTTTTGACTTTGTTTATGTTGTTATTCTAGTTTAATAACGGAACGGAGTTTCGAAAGAAACTACTAGAAGAACAAGTGTTTCGGGTTCCGGTGAGTGAGCGCGTTTTACAGCTTTTACATTTCTATATATCATGAGTTTGTTTTATTTGATTTTTCGTTGTTGATTTCGGGCTTTGAATGTGTACAGATGGGTGGAGGGAGCTTAAGCAGCCGAGACCTGTGGAATTCGAAGAAATCGAATTTCTACCATGGTTGCAGTGTTGCCACTGACCAGTTTTCAAGTGAGTGAGCAGCTTCCTTTATATGTTTCCAATTGTTAACTCATTTTGTTCATTAATTGCTAATGGGAGTGTAGGGGAGACTTGGACCAATAGTAAAGTTGTCTGCATCACATCCTTTGGAGGTGCGGAAGCAATAATTAATGCTTGCATTATTGGAGGCGTGACCCTTCCCCAGAACCCTGCGTGAATACATGATGCCTTGTGCACCGGATATTCTTTTTTAATTACTAATGGAACCCGGGGAGAGGAGGGGGGCAGAGTAGTTTTTTTTTTTTTTTTTGGTTTAATCATTTCTGTTTCTATTTGTTTGATGTGGGACCTGTATAACATTTTGCAGCTGCTGAGGTGAATACACTTCCTAATAGGTACTTATTGATAGCAACAAGTGGAGGCTTGAATCAACAGAGAACAGGGGTACTTCTCTTGTTCCCAGTAACTGTTACTGCATTTTACAGATTAGTTAATTTCATATTTATTGTGGACCTGTCCCCCAGCCGAACCTTATTCTGGCTCACTACAACAGTAATTGAGGAAAATGGCTCTTTTGCTGATTTGTTAATCCCTCCTGTCCATTTTAGTTGTCGTGGTTACTAAAAGTAACTGATCCTAAATACTTGTCATTCTAGACAATCAAGATATAATTAATTATTTTTTCTCCATTTGTCCTTAGTATTAATTGGGCTTCAAAGTAAAAAATATTGATTGCATAACATAGAAATAAAAAATCTCCTAGTAACAACTTTTTCAGCTATTGAGAAGGGTATAGTAATCAAAAAGCTCATCTCGTTAATAATTTCTTAAGGGACGTGTAAAGGAAAAACATAATAACTAAAATGGACAGGAGGGAGTACTATTTTTCAAGAAATGCTGTCTCTGTCATTTCAATGAGATCTTCAAGTATTTAAATTCTTTGTTACAGGTGCATCATTGCCTTTTGAATATACATAGTTGCTCCTAGTAACAACTTTTTCAGCTGTTGAGAAATAACAAAGCAAATTAGAACATGTTGAAGCACACTGAACCATAAACCCCCAAGTCCCCATGGTTTTCCTACCGCATATTAAACCATGAACCATAACATCAGTTGGATTAATGACATGGTGCTTGTTCTTATAAATTGTTCTCATTACTTCCAGCTACAGAGGCACTGCAAGTTGTTTCTCATGAATAATATTAGCACTATTCCCTAACACTACCTTGTACCAAATTTTAGCTTTTACCTAAGATAAGTTTACCTCATTTTAAGTGATCTTCCTTTGACCTGGCTGAACTAGTTAGCAACATTGATCTGAGGCATTAGTAGCCGGCAAATAGAAGAAAACTGACAGCCAGTTATTTGGTTTCATGATCCTCTTGTCTTTTCGGGATGGATATAGTTTTTCTTGTTCATGGCACATTTATCATATGTATGGACATTATGGTGTCATATCAGTTCTTGAAATGATATTAAATCTGTGCATCATGCATGTTAATGGATATTAATGGATATTACAGTATGAGTTGATCATGTTTAGCCTGGAATTCTATTCTATTTCTGTTACATTTAAGAGACTCTTGAAATGATGCGAGTTTGGAGTTGTATTCTTGATGAATGCAGATTATTGATGCTGTTGTCGCAGCTCATATCTTGAATGCCATCCTTGTAATTCCAAAGCTGGACCAAGAATCTTATTGGAATGATTCAAGGTTTTTTGAGCAATCTCTTTGTTTTGTTTAGTGATTTCAAATCTTGGGGACTAATCATTCTTTTTGTTCAGTGACTTCTCCGAAATTTTTGATGTCAACTGGTTTATTTCATACCTCTCAAAAGATGTCAAAATTATTAAGGATCTCCCAAGAATGGGAAATAAACTCATTAAACCGCACACAACACGTGTTCCAAGGAAGTGCAACGCTAAGTGTTATCAGACTCGTATCCAGCCCATTTTAATTAAAAAACATGTAAGTCAGTCTACATTAATAAGAATTACTGTACTTCATTGTGCTTGACTTGTGTCATGTATCTTATCATGATGTCACTCCTTGACAAATGAATTTTTGTAAGTTTACATGCAGACTCTCTAAGTTGGAAATGAATTAGCTACACTTATAGCATAATTTTAACTTATTTCCTAGAAGTTTTAACTTTAAATACAGAGCCGAAGTCTGTTGATCACACTTGAACTTAAATTTTGATGCTCAACTGTCCAACTGCTTTGTAGTAATAACAAAAAAAAAAAAAAAAAAAAAAATTAGGAGATGAGAGTTGGCACTCTGATTTTGAAGAGTTCTCGTTGCTGATGCAGGCTGTTCAGTTAACAAAATTTGATTACAGACTCTCCAATCGTTTGGATACAGAGCTACAGAAGCTGAGATGTAGAGTCAACTATCATGCATTGAAGTTTACTGATCCCATAATTGAAATGGGAAGAAAATTGGTTGAAAGGATAAGAAAGAACAGCAAGCATTTCCTTGCGCTACATCTAAGGTAATGCGCTTATTTGATACTTAAACAAGATCTTTCTGGTCATTATTTTTTCTTACTTAACAATCAATATAAACAGATGTCCAAACTATCTGAACTCTATTATGAATTTTTTATTCTCTAGATACGGTGAACGTAATGCTAAAGCTCACTCTTATTGCTGTTGCACATATTCAGTTTTGTCAAACTAGAATACCTATATTGTGTGGTATATTTGAATTCAACGTATCATTTACGGACTTAAAAGTTGATCATTTTAGTGTAGATTATGGACTTATCCATGTCACTACTAATGTGCTAGCTGAAGTTTTATTTCTCGTATGATAGGTTTGAATCAGATATGCTAGCATTCTCAGGATGCTATTATGGTGGAGGAGAAAAGGAAAGGCTAGAACTGGGTAAAATACGAAAGAGGTGGAAGACATTACATGTAAGTCACTAACTATTACAGTAACTGTCAGTATCTGCATTGCTCCTACTACTTGCATTAAACATGTTGTTGCTTCTTTGGCATAAAATCCAGTCAAGAAATCCAGATAAAGAAAGAAGGAATGGAAAATGTCCTCTAACTCCTGAGGAAGTCGGCCTTATGCTTAGAGCACTTGGTTTTGGTAATGATGTTCATATTTATATCGCATCAGGGGAAATCTATGGGGGTGAGGAGACATTGGCTCCTCTTAAGGCTTTCTTTCCAAATTTTTACACCAAAGAGACACTTGCCAGCAAGGAGGAGCTGGCACCGTTCTCTTCCTTTTCTTCCAGAATGGCTGCTTTGGATTTCATTGTTTGCGATGAGAGTGATGTTTTTGTATCAAATAACAATGGCAATATGGCAAGAATGCTTGCTGGACGAAGGTACGCTCTTGCTGTTTTATACTTGAAAGCGTTGTCAAACCTTTAGTTAGAGTTACAAAGATACATACAGGGGGCAGAGCTAGAATTTTGAGTTTATGAGTTCTGAATTTTAAAATAGACAACTTAGTAGTTCTAGTGAAATTATTTATGCATATTAAATGAATTTTTTATCACAAATATAGGATGGACTAAAGCTATTGGGTTGTGTCGAACTTGTACGCAGGCTTGTGGCTTCGCCCCTGCTTACGGAAATCTTTTTCATGTTGCAGGAGATATTTTGGTCACAAGCCAACTATCCGTCCAAATGCTAAGAAGCTATATAAGTTGTTTATGGATCGAAATAACATGACGTGGGAAGAGTTTGCCTCACATGTTCAAAATTATCAAATAGGTTTCATGGGAGATCCAATGGAGGTAAAACAAGGGAGGGGCGAGTTTCATGAAAATCCATCAGCTTGCATTTGTGAAGAGTCCAATGACAAGCCGAAAGAAGATATAAATATTCCTGGAAATCATGCAATGAATTTTGAAAAGGGCACTGATTCTGCTGATGATGGTGCTTGGCGATCTTTTGGTGAAGTGACTGATGGTCAGATTAGTGAAGACGAGCATGATTGGTTTGATACAGACTATATGGAAAATGAAGTTGGAATTCAAAGAAGAGTATTTCCTAAACACATGGAGGCAGACTCTAGCCAACTTTTCTTTAGCACAGAACCACCAGAATTGGAAGAGATATTCTCAGATTAAAAAGTAGTTGCAGCTTGCATTGAGAAGAATTGTGGCACGAACGAGTTCTGTCTTGTGACGAACTTTTAGAAATTCGCTCATTGTGACTGTTGGCTTCAATTGATTGATACAAACATAATATCTAGGGGTAGAAAATTTGTACATAAGGCCAGCTGAAGATCATCGATATCTTGTTTCTCCGTTTATGCTAGTCAAGGTGCAGTATTAAGGGCAGGAGGTTCGCGTTACGCTTGTACAGCACATGTTGGAGGACTAATACTGTACAGATTTATTCTTGGATAGACTGAAGTGGGTGGATCATTGAATATGGAAAGAAATGCTTTGAGGTTTGTTCTGTTGGCGTATTCTGTTTTAGATTCATTTTTACTTCTGTTTTCTTTAAAATGGAAGGAGGAAACAAATGAATTGTATAGTGCAACTCCAGAAGAGTGTATTCTTGTTTACCCTGGAATCCGGATAACAATTGAATTTATATGGGGTTTTAAGGATACGTGAACTAAAAGATACAAAAGGTTTGGATTGAGGAAAATAAAAGATAAAGACTCAACAATTGCTGTTAAAGTAAATAATCGCAGAATATAATATTGCTTAGAACAATTGTGCTTGATAGCGTATAAGAATTGAGAGAGATGGTACTGTAGTGTAATGGTTTCCGATCCCCTCTTTATGGGGTCTTCTCCCCTTTTATACATTCTGATTAAGGGTAAAAATAAGGTAGGTAAATTAATTACATCGTGGATCCCTGTAATTACGCCTTAATGGCCTGAAGTGGTTGAGAAAATCACGTTTGGGCGAGATATCCGGCGACGCTTGGTTATCCGTTACGAGTCCGGCTTCCGACCTTGTGTGTTTCTCCATCCGGTGGTGACTCATATCGAGCTCTGCAACGGTCTCGAAATGACTCGACCTCGGTTGTTGACGTGGCCGTCGTTCTACCTTGCATCCAGGTCGGGTTCGATGGCCCCGACTTGCCCCGGACCGGACCCAACCCGGTCGGGCTCAGGCAAAAAGGGTATCACCCAATACAGATAGTCCCCTCATTTATTAGAGAGTAATGATAATAAACGATATGATCGGTGACGTGATGCCCGTGACGTATGGCCATACGCCAGCTGAAAAAGCCATCGAGTGCTCTGACCACGTCTGCTGCAGGCATTTAATGCTTCTCTTAATTATCTGTCGCTTCGTGTCTGTAACTTCGCGATTCGTGCCGCCGCCTCATGGGAAAAGTATAAACGACCCTTCCAGGTTCAACATTTCTTATCTTTCTCAAATTTTGCGTTGGTTGTATTTTCTTTTCATCTCTTCGTAAAGCTTCAAGAAATGGCGAAAACTTCACAAAGTGTTCCTTCTAGACCAAGCTCGTCTGCGAGCCCCGCTAGATCTGATGAACCTGCGCCAGAACCCCCATTGAAAGCTTTTACACCGACTGGTTGCTTCGGTATCTGCCGACTTCCAGGTTGAGAACCCATCATTGGTCCCGGGCCGCGGCGAACCGGCATCGGAGTATATCAGCCTAATCACTCCCGGTTGCCTAGACCGGGTGAGGGCTGAATGTAGATGGGAAGGGAAAGACCTGGTCGCCCCTTCCCGTGACGAGTCGATTATGACTCACGTTGAAGGGTATCTTAGTGTATATACATATCCCTTCACCTTAGGCCCCTTAGAACCCATCATAGTGGAGTTCTGCCGGCGGTACGAGGTGACCTTAGGTCA